AGATTAATTTATCATTTAGAAGGAACGATTAATTACCCCTGTCACCATTTCACCCGCCAGTCATAGTTCACGATCTCCAGGGGGGCCTCCATTGGACGTCACGCTCGGTCCTAAGGAGCAGCAGAACCAATGAGTCGGGACCAAATCCGATGGAGTTTCCGATCGTCTCCAGCGAGTGGAGATGCGTAACAGGTCGGGCCTTCGTGACTGGTGCATCGACTCGAGTCAATCGCGCTAATCCCGTCCGAAAAGGATTTCGGTTCATCTCCATAGTCGACTCCATTTTTCAGCTGTCCACCAGGATTGACTGAGTCGGTGGCCTGATTCCAGCCTTTCCTGCGTCTCTGGAGGGTACCCGTCGAAACGTTCCTGAATCCTGAGAAAGCGACGACACCCGGAGATAAGACTCGCGTCTCGCGTACACTGGACAGGTGCCACCGCGACCCCCTTGGGTGGAGGGCAGTGGGAAACTGCTCCGTAAAGCGTCAGACAGTGTCTCGGTGATCCATGATCCATGATTCATCCACCTTCCCCGTTCGCGCAATGATCGGCCTTGTTTCTGCTGTAACCGCGGGCGCCCATGGGTCCAGATGTCGTTCCTGTCACCTCTCCTCATGGCATCCATTCTCGTGGTTGATTCTTAATTCTTGATGGTTTTAAACTCCAGCGACCCATCGATTAGCTCTGCCGAACCTTGGAACGGGTAATCCTCGTGGTGGAATAGTCTCGCCCTCGTCGTGGTAAAAAAAAAAAGGTAAAGTCAATTCCCAAGCACCAGATTTGGCACGAAAATCCAACTCCGACGGGATTATTAATTTAATATGGGATTCTGACCGTTAATGAATTTTTATGACGATTGACGTGAGAGATTCTCATTCGGTCATGATGGAAATACATCACCCGAATTGTGACCAACCTCCGCTATTCATTTTCGATCGCATGGATCGATTATCCATTATTATCCATTATCACCGTTCCGTAGAAGCGCGACGGATGATGACGAGGTGACTAGCAGAAGAGAAGGGGGGAGTGATTGGCGGCATGTCAATTTGGCCCATTACCCACTGGCTAAGGTACTTATCACTTAGTCTCTTAGCCTAGCCGACAACCTGAGATGTCATATGCACGGCCAATGGATCTTGCATACCAGATGGTCGCGGTTACACCAATCATCGCCGGCCACTCTTCATCTGCATCCCTCCCTTTTGGTTGTTTCCGCCCTGGAGGGGGGACGAGCGTCTATCCCTTGTCTTGTTCATAGCATGTGTGGAGAGGAGCAAGGCGGGTGGGATATTCCGGGATTTCACCAGCAATAAAGCCAGAAGATTTAATTCTCCGTTCAAGGGAGGGCAATCATGAAGTAGATAATTTAACCCTTGACTTGGTTATTGATCAGAATGAGGACCGGCTACGGCGACGGAAGACGAAGGCCGAGGTGGGTCTTTGGGCACAGCAGCGATGGCAGCTCATCTCGAAAAGAAGATGGGGTGGGGTCCATGGAGAGAGGAACCCCTCGGCGATCGGGCCTTCCCTGTCCAGGAAGTTGGAACATCTTTGTCAATCGAGCCAAGACTTCTATCACAGCCTCGCACTTCTTGCCCTCCCCCCTCTCACCCCCTGCCTGCTGCCTGCCTGTGTGTCTGTCACTCTGCTTTTTTGGGTGTGATCGATCTCCATCCTTCTTCCTCCCCCTCTCTCCGCCCTCGATCGAACTTGCCCGTTAATCACCTTGCAGCGGGAAGACACGGATCCTGCAGCCATTGTACGAGATTCATCCCATCTATCCAATACATCACCGTACAGTTGTCCCTCCTTTCCTTCGGTTTTTTTTTTTTTTTTTTTTTTTTTTTTTTTTTTTTTTTCCTCCCCTCCCTCTGGGACAAGCTACAGCTTTGTGATCTCTGCTAGTTTGGCTTAGTTAACCCATTCTGACTGACTGACACACCCAAGCGATGTGGATCCGGACTCAGTGAGGGACAAGTGGGCGATCGCTCCTCTTTTTTAAATTTATTTATTTTCCTTATTCTCTTTCTCCTCCCCTGTAAAATTCTCCTCTACTCAGTTGAGTGGATTCATTTACTGAGTTCTCAGAGTATAAACTTGCAGCTGAAATGCGGGTGGATTTGGATCTATTTACTCTGTACACCGTACACCGTATGACTTGATTTAACGTGTTTTTTAGTCCAAACCGCCTCCTACACCTGGTGAACATCTTGAAGACGCCCCGCTTTCTTCTCCCTCGCTCTCCCTTTTTTAGACTTTGCAGCTATACCTGCTCCGGACCGTTCCTCTGTGAGACGATTGTCTTCCTTGCTCCTCTGCTGCAGTCGCCTTTGCACTGGGGGTAAGCATCTAGCCGCTTCGGGTAAGATGGCGTCTTGCCGGATACTACTCCCTAGGCACTCCCTACCGAGTGCACCCTGGTCGTCTCGCCACATTCATTGCACGACAGGAGCGTTATTACTTTCGGTAGAACTCTGGTTCGGTCAATCAGAAGATACTTGGGAACTGCGGGAAGTTTTTTCCGCCTTCTTGATTCAGGTACAGTGGATTTTTCTCTCTTTCCTTCCTGTCGTCTCTTTTTTCCCTCCCTTCCCACCCCCCTCCCTTCAATCAATCCCCACTTAATACCGCATTTAATTTAGCAGAGGCGGCGATGACAAAGTGGCAGCCCGGCAGGGGGGAAAACCTTCGCGGTCGCCACCGTCAGATAAAAATACCTGAGTCTGAGTGACCTTACGGAGTAGTTACCCCAAGTCATGAGGTCATTAGTAGTCAAGGCCGCTAAACCACTAACCGACGATAGTACAAAAATATCCATCACTGTTTGAGAAAGATGGGGGCTAGGCGGATTTAGCTTGTTTCTGGAAGTTCTTGGAGTCGTGAACTTAATTATCAATTAGGAGGGTTTCATCTATGTTTTGTGCTGATGTAAACCTAAACTGGTGAAGTTGCCATTCTTTCTCCCCCCTTTCTCTCTCTCTCGACATTGGGTTTGCTTTTCATGGGGGAGGACGGATGTTGGAGATCTACCAGATCTTGACTGGTAATTGGTAATGAACTCGAGTCATGAAAGGGGAAAGGGTGAAAAGGACAAGTATCCTGATCTAACTCTGTGTGGTGCACCTCTTTCGGGTGAAATTTGCTCCCCTCCTTATTCCGGGAATTAGGGCGACAACGAAACATTGTTCCTACTGTATGGACATACATACCTACAGTTGCAGCATGTACCGCCAGACGATCTTCAGAGGCAGGCAGGCAGGCCAGGGTGTTCCTCTGAATTGTTCTTCTCCGCGGCGCCACCTCAGACCAAATCGTCTGTCCTCCCTCCTGGGAAATGATTCGGGTTGGAAATCTCCTCCAGATCCCTTGGCACCATCTGTCACGGACAACCTTAAGGATGAGCATGTTTAGTAGGGCCCGATGAACAGATTAAACATTAATTAAATGTTAATAATGCTGGGAATTAATATGGGGTCATTCATCTTTCTTGATATTATCCTCCTCCGACAGAGAACACCATGGGTTTTTTTTTTCCTTTTCGATTCCATTCCCTTTCTGGCGCTTTTTTTAATCTTTTCCCTTCCAACACATACGGAGGGGAGACCAAAAAAAATTAATAGAATGAAATGAAAATACATGGAACCTAGTTAGTTACCTATGTACCTACCTACCTACTCTCGCCCCCCTCATCGTTGAAGCGGCCCCTCTCTTCTCTCTTGCATGCCTTTTGGATACCGACGGAGTGAGTGACGGTCGACCATAGTTTATCCACACCCACCCACGATCGTCGGTTTTTCTGGGATCCCCCCCTGTTCTTGCCTTTTTCTTTTTTTTTTTTTCCTCCCCCTCTTATTTTTTTTCTTTCTTAGTGATGGCTTGGTTAATATGGAACAGCTGACGGGGGGCCGGGTATCTGGCGTTTTGAGAGATTCAATCATATCTGTCTTTCTTTTTCTTTGCTTTTTTTGGCACTGGGGTGTCGAGGTAGCTAACAGCTAACTACGGTAGTCTTGCAGGATGTCGGGGACCAGGGCTGTTCTTTTCCCCTTCCTTTTTCTTTTTGCTCTGAATTGACGAGAGTCACTGTTGGCCCCAGAAAAGGGAAATAGAAAATAGTTAGGGTGGACAATTAATCATTATCCAGGCAGGAAAAAAAAGGTAAAAATAAAATCGACAAACGAGAGTTTAAAAAGAAAAAAAAAGGAATGCAAAATGAAGAATAATTTAAAATAAAAATGATGGCCCAAAGAACCAAACTAAAAAGAAAAAAATAAAAAATAAGGATTTTCGAAATTGAAATTGATAAATTGGAATTAAATAAATCGGAAAATCGAAAATTAAAAATAAAAAATAAAAAATAAAAAATAAAAAATCCAATTGTTAGAACCCCGAACCACCTTTGAAAGAAGAGATCTGGTCCACCCAGCCCAGATCCAATTGTTGAGCTGCCTCACTCCTTACCTTGCATAACCTTGGTTCAGCTGTCTCCATCGTCATCGTGTGCGGCAATGTCAAGGTACTTTTAACTCACGCCCTGGTATATTATTTGTTGCCCATGTTTCCCTCGATTCTCTACCATCGAACCACAACAGCCTAATTTTTTTTTTCTTTTTTCGTTTTTCGTTTTTCTTCTCTTTTGCTCTTTTCTTTTCTTATTCTTATACATCTACTGATTCCTCCCTCGGATTCCTTATCTTCAGGTTTTCGCATTCTCCGGTCAAATCATCCTTTCCTTCCATCTCCTCCCCTTCCACCCCGCCAGAGATTAGACTCCTCTGGATCCGCGCCGACTCCCCATCATATCTCTTATCTATCAGGGTGATTCTCGCCAGATCGCGAGAGTTTCCTGGATTGTGTGGAACAAGCCGCAGGCCGGCTACTTCGATTATCAGATATTCGGCTTTGGGGACGCATCCTGGTGTTTTCCGTGACTATACAGAACAAGCGGGCAGTTTCTACTGTATCTTCTACCCCACCAAACTCCATCTTCGCTGTCTATGTCCCAGCCCCGTGACCTAGGCGAGGATTCCAAGAACATGGCCATTTCATACGCCAGCGGCCTCCCGGCTGATCATACGCAAGCCCTCCCTTCATTCCGAGAGGTAAGATGAGCCACCCGCGATCCCCGAGCATCCTCGGACTTAGAAGTCCGCAGGAGGAGCGATAGTAGAAGACCGAAGACTGACTTCCCTCTCTCCAGCTCCTCCCCCCTCACCTTCACGACGAGATAGAATCAACCTCCTACTTCACGTCGCGGCAACATTCGCACGAACGTCCCGCCTCCGCCAGCCATGACCTGACCTCCAACCACCGGCTTATCTCCGAGCGAGGACCCTATAGCTCCCCGTCCAGAGTCTCGGCGGAATCCCATCGCGATTACTCGATAGCTGCCCACCAGAGAGATCCCCGGTTATCTCAGACTGCCGGCTCAACGCCCACCACCTACTCCCCGCGCGGACCCAGCCCCATCCTGCCTCCCATCCGGGACCTACAATCCCTCCCAGACCGAGGAATGAACCCTTCAAACGCTGCGTTCCCCGACGCCCGCGCCCTCGGACGACCCGATCCCTACGCCGCGGCGCACGACATGCGCTCCGGCCCTCCCCACGCCTTCGCGGCCCCCGCAGCAGCCAACTACCCCGGACCGATGGGTGATCGACGCAGCGCGGAAGCCTACGTGGGAGCCAACGGGGCGCCCGTGATGCCGTACCCGTACTCGGGGATGGCGTACCAGAGCGACTCCGAGCAGACGTCGCCACAGGCGTTATCGCATGGCCCGACATCCAATTTCGGCATCCTAGGCGACCCGGCCGACTCGCGGAATAAACGCCGACGGGGGAACCTGCCTAAGCCGGTCACCGATATCCTGCGCGCCTGGTTCCACGAGCATCTTGATCATCCATATCCCAGCGAGGAGGACAAGCAGATGTTTATGACCCGTACGGGGCTTACGATCAGTCAGGTAAGTTTGCTTTGTGTAATTTTGGGATTTAAGGGGGGGGGGGGGGGGGGGGGTTTGTTGTTATTGGGTGGGGAAAATTTAACCCACTTGGGGAAAAAGTTTAAAAACGGAAAAAAAGCAACT